TCACTTTTAATTGCAATTTTCAAAGTAATTAGCATTCTCAGTCTATGAGCTAAAAAAGAAAAGAATGTTGTTGAAGTCTGGGGTGTACAGCAACATAAAAAAATAAAACAAATATAACAATAGAGATTCTGTTCTACCATTTTAACAGCAGAATTGCATTTAAAACAACAGTTTTCAGTGCAGACAGCTTCATTAATTAGGAAATGGGGCAATTTTTTAAATTTAAAATTTGGTGCAAGAATTTAAATTGTGCGGTTGCAGGTGCGTACATGTCAGCTATTTTACAACAGCTTTGAATGTGACTCATTGTTACACAATATGAGAAAAGGGTTGTTGTTGTTTTTTTGTTTTTTGTTTTTTTTACTGATGCCAAACTCATAAATAATTTGTAATAAATTACACTTTACTAATTGTAATAAATTACAAATTACTCATAAATTAATTTAACAAACATAACAAAATCCAAATAAATTACTCTTTCACATTTTACCAAAATGTTTGGAATCTAAATGAATATCTTTATGCTATACTATTATATATATATATATATATATATATATATATATATATATATATGAAGAGCTCTTTTCCAAAACGCGTTAAACGACATTTTTAAAAAAAATGAGTTTGTCGTGTCATTCTGCTGCGGACAGAACCCTTTCACTGCTCTATCAACGTTTCATGCCGAATCGCTATATTTCCTTGTTTAAAATGTACTGCAAGATACAGTTTCTTCCCAAGCCGCGATAAGCACCAGCCCTGTTTTTAGCCTAAACACGATAAATCCTCAAATTCAATGAGCGCTCTACACAATCCAGCACGGCGGCACTCTGAACAGAGGTTTATTATGTTCATTCATTCCTCAAAATGAGTCCTAGTTTTCTAGTCGACTAGTAGTAGATCATTTAAGCCATTTGTATTATCAGTAATCACATATATTGATTTAATTAAATGGGAGAGAAACCATATGAGCGTTTTTAATTGCATATTCCGCATCTCAACGTATGCATAAAGCTTGCCACAAAGAACCGGCAAAAGTAATGATTATGCATGAAACATTTGAATTGTTTATTAATAAACTAGTGTTTTCTGTCAGTGTCAGCAACAAAGATAAAGTTGATGATGCTTACTCGCCATCTTCGCAGTGAACGCGCATAGAGAAACGCATACTTCGAATTAGCCTATACATACGCAGAGAGTTGCCAATTTATTTTAGTTTTTAATTGTTTTGTTTAAAAGTAGATATTTAAAGCTTTCTGTAGCTTAGTTCTCAGGCCTGTGTGAGGCAAGCATCGCGGTGTTTCGGTTCATATTATGAGACGCGCTCCGGTTCACCTGCGCGCCTCTGTGTCCTGATTATATTGTCTGATATTTACTTCTAATGTATTAATCCAGTCAATTTGTCGATGAAACATTTATTAAAATGAAGATACAATTTATATGAAACGAAATTTACAAGCTTTCTACAAAACAAAACTTAATAAGTGGTCAAAATCATGTCTGACGCACTCCAAATATTTTCCGATATTGGGCAGCTTTTGAATTTTGATCCTATCTTACTCATCTCATGCGGTTCCCTTTTCATAGCCTACTCAACATAGATGAAATAATAAAAATAAGTAATGTAATATTATTAAAAACAAATGTGAAATGTTTATTTTTTTATTTTTTATTTTTAAACTTATATTTAAGCGTCATGCTGCTCCGCTTTGCTCACATGTTATGTAGCCTGTGTGTGTGTGTGTGTGCATGTGCTGGAGGGGTGCCCATCCCATTTTTGAATATCGTTATCATATATTGATCATTTTTAATAATTAGTTTTTTCATGCATATGTTGAAATTGGTATTAATAATTTGTTTTTTTTTCATGCATATGTTGAAATTGGTACTATTTGTTTGAGGTTTATTTCGATTTATAGCGTTTTGGAAAAAAATAAAATTAACTTTTAAATTATCATTAACAATATTGTTGTTTGATTTAATAATTATTGTTCAAAATGTTCAGACTGAACCAATAAAACATTTAAACAGGATAATTTGAATATTCACAAAATGTGTGGGTCTAGGTAAAAAATGTAGTTTTCCTGAAAACTATTGAAATGGATTTATAGCGTTTTGGAAAAGAGCTCTTCATATATATATATATATATACGTATATATATATATATATATATATATATATAAAATCAAATGGTTGTGTAATTTATTAAAACATTTTTCCAGCAACAATTTTGATATTAATTTATACCACTAAATTACTCAAAGCAGCTGTGGCATGATATGCACTGTTAATATGAAATGACACTGTTTTGGTCACGCCACTTCAAAAAGTCTTGAAAGATTATGTCTTTGTAATTAAATAAATATATATCGACAAAAGAAAGAAAAAGAGAGAGAGTGGAGGAGAACTCAAACAGCTAATAAAGCAACAGAAATGCAGAACATATTCTGCACTCCTTAATAGGGCTCACTGCATTTTATACTTCCTATTTCACTCCTGATTCTGAAGGGGAGAGCGAGAGACTTCGTGTCTATGAATCTGAGAGGAGTGCAGCTCTAAGAGCTGACACCGCAACACTGCTCTTGGCACGGTAAAAGACTCCTGCATGCTTCAAGGTTGCCCCATGATTCAGTGGCACTAGTTTATGAAGTAGCTTGTTTCAGTGAGTTGGAGTTGACACTAAAGGGGGTGGAGTGAATGTGAGAGCCTGAACCAGATCACTTGTGTATGTCGTCTTCTAACCAGAATGCCAGAGCCAATGACAGATTTAACCATTTTCTAATCAGTTTGAGAGTGCAGCTTATTTGACTTAGATAACACCACTGACAGCTAAACAATACCCAATGGCTGCTAAAATGAAACTTTTTTTTAGTTGAAAAATTGCTCAATACAAACAGTTGTACAGAAACACTATTGCTCATGCTCCCTAATTTTTGTAAATTTGAGTGAATATCGCAAAAAATGAATAAAAAGGAGAAATTAAGGAATTTCTTCATGAGATTCACCCTTTTAAAACCCACTGCAGTGGTCAAAGATCCACTGGGAGATTCACCGAGACGGAACATATGCTGTTGGAGAACCGAATGCATGCTTTAGTTTACTGAGTGCATATATTCTTTGTTTGCCACCTCTTAAACCACTTAATGCTGTGTGCCAAGATGAAAGGAAGAACAGGCACATGCTTTATAGATGTAATTAACTAATGTGTCCTCACCAGATGGAATCTGAGAAGCAAGCAGGTAAGTAGGTGGTCATTTAACTGATGCTTTTATCCAAAGTGACTTGCTTATTTCAAGGACAATCCCTCCAGACATTAAGTGTGTTGCTCAAGGGCACACCAGTGACTGTTGTTCCTCAGGAGGCTCAAATCGGCAACCTTTTGATTTACTCTGAAAATCCTGATCCTGCACTACGCCTCACCACATAAAACTAAATACACAGACTGGACATCAAATTCGGTATGAAATTAAAAAAAATACTGTATCTATTTTCTAAATTTATATTGTTAATCTTAATGTGAACAATTCATGCATTCATATGGTTTATTGTTTGGTTTGTGTTTTTACCTCGGAATGTTGAATCAAAGTGTTATAACACGGGTGATGATGGTGCAGTGGATAAGACACATGCCTTTGGTGTGAGAGACCCAGGTTCGAATCCACTGCGAGACACCAATGTGTTCCTGAGCAAGACACTTAACCCCTAGTTGCTCCAGAGGCGTGCAACCTCTGACATATATAGCAATTGTAAGTCGCTTTGGATAAAAGCGTCAGCTAAATTAATAAATTTTATAACTCAATCTTCTGGTGAAATGACAGACTTCTCTCTGGTGACGTATGCCGGACATCTTCAATGAGTTAATTTGCATTCTTACAATAAACTGCAACCTCACACATTTTGTTTTAACATGAGAATACAGAAGAAAGGAAGTTTTATCATAGGTGACTTTATATCATCCTTATATTGCCTTTATAATACTTGCGCTTTGTCGCATTTTCAACAATTTTATTAAATCAATGTAAACTCACGAGATCTTTAAATAGAGAATTTGTACATTGAGATCATATAACCAGCCTAATATTTTAAATTAGTTTATTTGAAAGCTGATTTATTTATGGTCATGTAATTTCCAATTATACCTAAAATACGTACACAAAACTGAATCTCATAAAACTTCAATGTGTTCCAAGCAGAACGGACTTCTACTTTTTTTTTTTTTTTTTTTTTTTCTAGAGTAGAACTACCTGTGAGGCTTCTGCAAATCAACAGAACATCAGCAAAATAAATAATTAAAGAAATAAATCAATGAGTAATTGAAAATTAGTGGTGACACATTGATCCAGTCTGCCCGGCTGGTGTTAAGTAGGTCTGTCTGAATGAGACGGCCAACGCTAAAAGACGGTTTAAAGCATAATTGATTTTTGTTTCCAACGAGTCAGAGTCACAATGAGCTAATAATGTGGGATGATGAAGATCCCTCGCCTTTCTGTGTTTATTCTCCTCACGCTGACCTGACAATACAATCTAGTGTATGGACACACGGCAAGCGTATGCCATGACAAGTTTCACGGGGAACTTGAAGAAAGGAAACATTGCCTGAACTTTTATTCTAATCTAATTGAAAAATAACTACCTAGAAAGTCAGTGTTCTAATTTATCCTAAAAAATAAACCAGTGGTTTGGACTTTCTAATGTAAATGTAACTAATAATTCTGATTATAATTAGGAACTCAGCTGGATGCCATTTGCATGAATTGGATGGCATTATATTGCATATGCTGATATACATCCTATTAGTTGGAATGTATACACATTTCTATATGTAAATTTGCATATGTGAGCGCATCTTTAGGTTATTTTGTCCAAGTTAGATAAAGCTCTGCACTGCAAAAGGAGGAAGTGTATTTTGAAATATTCTAAAATCTATTTTTCAAAACTTTGTGCAAACATTTGAGATCAATATTTGAGTTGTTTTTGGTGGCAGAATGTGGGATTTCACCTTCATGCACGGTCACGCCACAGTTGTCACACTGGATGATCTCATCCGCATCTTCGCTGTTGTCTCCCAGGCACACGCAGCAGATAAGGATGTGCTCCATTCGCTGGGAGCTCCAGGTCTGGGGACGCTCCAACAGAGAGTCCTGAGGAAGCAACGGATAATTTAGCAATCCAACTCAAGTTAGGGATGTTGCAACTGATAGAACAAATCCTCTACCAAAGTCCAAATATCTTCCTCTGAAAACAGTTCTCGGATCAGTGTGGGGGAAAAAAAAAACCTGAGACAAAAGTAAAGCCACTCAAAAGCTTCTGCTCTAATTCCACCTCTGAGATTGGAAGATTAGCCAATCCTATAAACTGAAGTTCTCAGATAAGCCCATTCACAAGGATTGCTTTTTTGTATCAACAATCTGATGCTATGTGAGCCAATGACTGGATTATCTGATTGCTTTCCTAAATGCACAATAATACAATTGCATCTGAGAATTCAAGCTGGTTCCTTTTCATACAACTAAACTTTTGGACAAATTCAAACAAGTGGATAGATCAACTGTTTGATCACACTGAAAAATAGGGCACACATATTGCCAGTTTTCAGTAAATGATGGAGACAGATGGCTAGTTTATTTATAAATCAAATCTGAACAGTACTTCATAAAGCTATTTGCATAAAAAGAGTTAGTTCACCCCCCAAAAAATAAAATCAATTACACACCCTCATGTCATTCCAAATCCCTAATCCTGACACAAGGGTGAATAAATAATGAAAGAATTACACATTTTGGGTGACCTACACCTTTAATTGTAGGGTGGAATATAACTGAATCTCAACCAAGAGGAAAATATATCTGAACAAACATGATTGAGATCCAAGGAAGATTGCAGCAAAACTGTCTTTTATAAAAAGATATGATAAAGTCCATAAAGTGTGGAGAAAATAATACTGAGAATTCTGAAGAATGTAGAATTCATGTTTTTTTTTTTTGTTGTTGTTGTTTATGAACAAAGTAAATAAGGTGTTGCGCTGATAATGACAAGTTACTTAATCTAAAGAATAAAATATTTTGAAGGAAGTTTTAATGCTCACCAAGGCTCCATTTTTTTTTATCATAAATGGTAATATTGTGAAACATTACATTTAAATATAGTAAATTGACTACTGTAATGCAAAGCTGGAATTTCATCATCATTACTTCAGAAAATGTCTTTATAATTCAAGTATTATAATTTAATCTTATTGACCCCAAACTTTTGAACAGTAGTGCAAAATCAGAGATTTTACCTCATTGCCCTTTCCATGTGATGTGCTGTGGCTGTCATTGGTCTCCTCCTCATCAAAAGCTCCAGTGTTTTTGCCTGCTTTTCTCTTTGGTTTCCTCCCTTCTTCCTCACTATCACTGCTACTAGTCTCGTTTTCATCATCCTCATTGTCCTCTTCATCACTACCACCATCATCATCCTCTTCATCACTCCCTTCTTTCTCCTTCCCAGATGATGCCTTGCCTTTCTTTTTTCCTTGCGTGGGCCTCCAGTCATTGTCATCCTCGCTGTCATAATCATCCATTTCGTTTAGCTCTTCCATCGTAGTGAAGTCCAGCATGGGCCGGTTTCGTCGGAGGTTCCATTTTTTTGGCTCTCCCGAGGCCTCCTCTGCAGTACCACTACCATTTGGTTCTGTATCTGAGGATTTTTCTACTTTCCTGCGATTCTTGGAGGTTCCCTCTGTTTCTTTGCTGCTGGTCTCCTCAGAGAAAGACTGTTCCTTGGCTTTTTCCTCTTCTTCAGTGTCTTCATTTAAATCTTTGGTCTCTTCTTCATCTATGCCCTCTTCATCAGCTGAGCCAACAGCGTCAGAGTCGCTCTCAGAGCCCGCAGCGCTGTCATTTGAACCCTCCTCATCACTCCCGTTGCCGGTGCCCTCTGAACCTGGGACAAATGGGAAATTAACTTAGCAGTGTTTTGTGCAGAACAAAACACCCCAGACGTGATGCAAAAAATACCCTGCGGACAGCAAGCTTCTGTTTCATGTACAATGGATCAACAATTTATAAATATTTAAAATGACAAAAATATAGATAATATAACTCAATATACAACTACAATAGTTGAACAGATTCTTACTTTTTTAGGATTAAATGTATGGATATATTATATATATATATATATATATATATATATATATATATATATATTTACACACACATATATTTATATATATTTTTTTTTAATTATATTTATATATATATATATATATATATATATATATATATATACTGTATATATGTTTATATAAATATAAGGGCTGTGCAAAGTTTAATTGCGATTAATCACATCCAAAAATAAAAGTTTGTGTTTACATAATATATTTATATTTACCGTGTATAATATTTTGTATATAAAAATACACACATGCATGTATATATATTCAAGAAAATGTGCATATATTTATAATATAGATTATGTATTTATATACAGTACTTACGTGCAAATAATTCTTAAACATATACATGCATGCATTTGTATTTATATATACAAAATATTTATACACAGCACAGACACATTATGTAAACACAATTTTTTATTTTGGATGTGATTAATCGCAATTAATCTTTGAATATATATATTTTGTATATATATAATTTATATGTTGTTGTTGTTTTTTATTTATCTAGTGTATTAAAGCAGCCTTGCTGCTGTGATCACTTTCAGTTCTTGTCACAATTTGTCATTTTCCAATTGTTATTGTTTTCCATTACCTTGCTACATGTTGAATCATAAATACCTAAATAATATTAAAAACTGTCATCAATTACGTCAAAAATATAAATGACGTCAATAAAACAGATTGTGAAATATATCACATAATATTGCATTTACCTCTGGAAAGTCATCCGATTGTTAGCTAGCTTTAAAAGAATAGAGAGGAGCTTATTTACTGTTATTTATATATGTATGTTTGAATAAATTTGCCATGAAGACAAGTGCTTATGAAAACTACCTTATTTGCATCACCGCCCGAGTATACAAACATTTCAAACTCTTATTTGAGTGTAAATATAATATCTTTGAATAAACAGCAGAATATAGCCCTATTGTTAATTTTAACCTTGAATATTATAGTGTACCAAATGAGAGGGTTCTCTGTATAGTTTGCAACACTATTTGGGAGAGATTTTTTATCAATAAGAAAAACCAAACTATCGGTATCAGCATCAGCCGATATCATTCTGAATAATCATATCAGGTATCGGCTGAGAAATCTAATATCGGTGTCATCTCTAGTAATTAATGCATTTGTATAATTTTTATACAGCAAATGGCAATGGTATATTGCCCAAACAGATTTATGTGATTAATCTGACCAGAAATTTCATGCAGCAAAACTCAAAGTCAAAGTGTTAGAATTTCATTATCAGGTTGCAGATATTTCTGCACTTTGGTTGACAGCAGCTGGATGGGATAGCCTAGCTTTTGCGTTAACCTCCGGTGTGTCATAGTGATATGGAGCCATTGCTTATGTGACTCCAGTGTTAATAATGCATTACATGAGGTCTAATCTACAGGCAGGGGGAAAACAGTGACACACGTCATGATGAAGGTCTCACCTCCAACTCAGCAGCTGTTTTCATGACAGGTGAGAAAACCCAAGCAGGGGCCCAAGTCTAAAATGGCCGTGCGCAGTATAAATAAACACATGCAACTATCAGTTATGATTTGATGCAACTATCAGTTATGATTTGAGTATTTTAACTGTATGAGACTTGCCATCATTACTTGTCATCATTTTACAGATCTAACTGATCCACAATCCCACTTTTTGACATTTGTATTATACCCAACAAATGCATCAATATGACAGTGAAATTGTTTTGAGATAATTTACCTGATGCATCTCCAACTTCAAAATCACTGTCATCTGAGCTGTCATAGTCCAGAGCATCCAGCAGAGAGTCAGCCAAAGGCTTCACCTGTCGCCGCTTCGACCCCCGATCCACTAATTAAAATGAGATTCAAATGTGTTTGATAAACTAACTGAAATAAATGTTTAAGAACCAAACTTATTAAACCGAAATAAAAAGCTAAAAAATAATTATTTTTAAAAAATAGTAATACAATCAAAAGTTAAAAAACTGAAGAAATAATAATAAATTAATTAATTAAAAATATTAATAAGTAGTATAATAGTAAGTAAGACTAAAGAAATAAATGTACAATAAAAGCATTCAAACACTCACAATTAATTATAAAGAAAGACTTGCAACTGAAACCTGGATGGAAATGCATATTATAAACAAATCACCAAACAAAATATTAAATAAAAAGTGTTTAGAAATTAAAACGGTCATATACAGCTAGCCTACACACACAGAGACAGACAGACATCCACAACAACTCATATATAGACAGACAGACAGACAGACAGACAGATAGATAGATAGATAGATAGATAGAAAATATAGACAGACATTTAGATAGAGATATACACAACAAATTATAGACAGACAGACAGACAGACAGACAGACAGACAGACAGATAGATAGATAGATAGATAGATAGATAGATAGATAGATAGATAGATAGATAGATAGATAGATAGAAAATATAGACAGACATTTAGATAGAGATATACACAACAAATTATAGACAGACAGGCAAAAAGACAGACGATAGATAGATAGATAGATAGATAGATAGATAGATAGATAGATAGATAGATAGATAGATAGATAGATAGATAGATCCTTGTGGTCTCTGATATTAAATGTATTTCAACAGTTTAACAAACTACTAATAACGTCAGACAGTGTGTGCGTGCGTGCGTGCGTGTGTGTGTGTGTGTGTGTGTGTCAAACTCCCATGAACTACAGTTCAGTCACTCACACATTATGTTGGCTAAACATGCAGCACAAGTAACGTTATATGACAAGATGCTGTCACGTCAGCTCACATCTCTCTGTTTAGTTTTCTAAACTGGATAAAGAAGCTAGTTTCCTGGAGAGACGAAAGCGCACTGTGCTTTATAATCTAACATAAGGTGAAAACGCGTAGAACTGCTGATATTTTATAAGTGATGCTATGTTGTAAAGCTGAATGATAGAGAGAGCAACTTCACATCATCAGTTCACCACGTTAGCCAGCGAGCTAAAGTAGCAGTAGCTTCATGCAATCTATTAACGCTTGTTTCTCTTATTTCACACCACATGTTGTAAATTCCTATGGTGATTATGTTGTTCTATATTTTCTCTTTCAAAATGTATAATATAACAGCGAGGATTACTCACTTTATGTGATTTTCGCGTTTGGATAGCTTGGACAAAGGTACAACGAACGCCTCTTCAGCTCATGTTCTGCGTAGTACGTCATCGATATTGCGTGGCACGTGTACACATTGTGCTGACGTTCAGCTCACAAAGTAGGAGCTGGAAACCATAGCAACCCGCCAGTTCAGTTCACAGAGCAGAGAAAAGACTCGATAGGTGCCATCGCCTTTGCATGTTCACCAAATGCACCAAAATCACGTTGATTTAATAAAATGTTATTTAATTAAGCGATTACATAAATTACTGTTTATTTTATTATTTTGAAAAAAAAAATGTAGAAAAGTGTATTCCAACACACTAGAAAAACTGTTTAACTGAACATGAAACATTCATTATAGGCTACATAACCCAGGCCATTTTTTAGCGCCTGTCTTGTGGTTTGTATTTCCACAGCATGAAGATCTTATGGATTTAGGCTATGAATGAACCACTCATTTAAAAAAAAAAAAAAAAAACTTCTGACATGTTTTTTATGACATCCTCTTCAAACATTACAATGTCCATGATAGCTTTTTTTAACTCTAAAATAAGAAAATCCACTTTATCAGCTATTTAAATATCTGGCACAAAAAAACAAAAACAAAAAAAAAACCCACAAAATTCTAAAGATGGCTGTGCGCTTCTTTCTGTGGCACATTATTAGGTCTATAAATGTTAACTTTAACATGTCAAGACCCCTTACATCTGAAAAGGCTAACATAGCCTATGACATTGAATGAGTATGATGAAACCGTAAGTCAGGGTTTCTCAAACTCGGTCCTGGAGATCAGGGTTGGAGCTAAACTCAGCAGGACAGTGGCCCTCCAGGACCTCCAGGAGTTTGAGGAACCCTGCCATTAAAAAAGTGAAATGTGAAGTGAGCAGCTTTTTCTGGTTAAATTCAAGACTCTTGATTATTGTTAGTACTGAAAGTTTTAGACCTTTCAAACAAATTCCATCAATGCCATTATAGCCTACTGTATCAAAGACTAAGACAGACTTTGATGGGATGTTCACATTTGCATTCATTTTTCATCAGTGATTGATAATTGAATTCAGTTGTATCTAAGTCTTTATTCTCAAATTACTTTCAAATCACCCCCCCCCCCCCCCCCAAAAAAAAAAGTTTCTAGAATAAAAATGTATTTAACTAAATGTAACTAAACATGAGTGGAATCACTAACGTTATGTCTAAGGTTAAACCAAATAAAACAATCACACTTTTGCAAAATAACAAGAACGTGTTATGAGACTGAAAATGACTGTTTTTTTGCTTGTTTTGAGGGTGAGGCTTGTTTCTGTCGTCCTCTGTTGACTTTGCCAGTTTAGCAAACAGGAGACGATTAAAATAAATGAGCCTAGATTGATCCTGATACTCAGCGAGGGGAAGACTGATGGGGAAAGGCACGCGCAAGGGATGATTACGACTGTCCTTGCCCGATGACAAATGGCACTGTATTGTGCTGCAAAGCCACCGTTTTTTATCCCTTGGCATCAAAACATTTTTCGAATATCATCATAAGCATCATCGTCATCATCAGTGTCAGCATTCTATTGCCAGCGTTTTCCATTGTAGATGCCATGATATTCCCAATGAATGAAATGAATGTGTCATATTAGTCAAGGTGACTATGATTGCACAGAAGCACATTTCTGTGACATCTTTGATTTTTAACAGGAATGAAAGCGAGACTGAGAGGGATAGACGAGACATTGGTTTTACTGTTTTTTCAGGCGTTTTAGGATTGTTCAATAATAGCTAATAGTTCAATGTCATATTTGCATTCAAAATGTCATTATTGAGCGAAAGACACTTAATGACAGTTGTCATAAACATACATCGACCCTACTTCATATTCAAGATATATGTCATGTCATGGCTATGGTGTCATGTCAGTCTTATGCACACCCCTTCAAGTAAAGTGTTACCGACATTTCTAATGTTAGAAAAGATTATATTTCAAACAAATGCTGTTCTTTTGAACTTAGGCAAACATTATAAAAATTGGCAACACAACTATTTTCAACATTTCTTCAGCAGCAAATATTATATTAGCATTGAATTGAGTTTATTAAGGATAGCCTCTTGAGATGCATCATCTCATTTTCAAGAGGGCCCTATAAACACAAATACAGAATGCAAAAGACAAATTATAAGCACAGTTGTTACATAACATACATTACAGATACACACACAAAGCTAATTTATACACAACTCATTCATACACAAACTCTCCCCCAACTCACACCTACCCTGCACACTAACCTAAGTTTTTTTTTTAATTTTTTTTTTTAATTATTATTATTTTTTTAATTGGAACAAAAAACACAAAAGTTATCATGGATGTTACAGTATCAGACAGTATAACCTAAGTTTTTTTGTTTTTTTTAAGCACGTTAAGCACATTATGATTTCTATGTGAGTAATGGCTGTTTACTATCACATGAATAAATTACATATTGAAATATATTAAAAAAAAAGAAAACTTGTTTTAAATTCAAGTAGTATATCACTGTATGCTGAACATACAGAATTCCAGTCTGGGACCTTAACTTGATAGTGTAAAGGTCAGATGGACTTCTAAGTATCAGATTACAATCAATGAATTATAAGGCAAATTTATCATAAAAGACACGTCCATCACTGTGTTATATAATAATAGTAATAGTGAGGGAATCAGTGATGGTCCGAGAGGCTGTAAATGAAGAAACCCACAGAGGAGCCACATGGAGATCTTGAGAAACTGTTCAGCTGCAGATATCTGTCAGCTTGATGAGGCAAAAGACAGAAGCAATTACATTAAGAACAAGAATAACACAAGGTTTAGGAAATAAAAACATTACTATAAAGACGTGCTGTGCCACGCCAGCTTTAAAACCTCATTTGGAGAGAAGTAATTGCAATGGCTATTATTTATGAACCCCAAAGAAGTATGTTACAGAATGCTTGCATTGATCGACTACCTCCTCCAGTTTAATGTTTTGCATTTAAATTGAAATATTTATCCATTCATATGGTGTAAATCATACCACGTTGGCCACCGTTTATCTTGGCTGAGGTGCCCATTGCTTTTCCTCGCGGGCTCTTTCACTGGAGCGTGTGGCTGAAATTGAGTGAATTTGATTACAAACACATTGCCCCTGTGTGTGGAGATGTTATCTCGGTGTTATCTTAATGTCACCCTCCGCGTGCAGGGCTGCGCTAATTTAATTGTCATTTTAGATATGATTATTTACTCCTTAGGAAAGAGACAATCTATACCGATGCACAATCCTTTATTCAATTGGAAACCGAAATGCTTGAAATTAATTGGCAGAGAAGTTAAGAAATATTCTCATCAAAGCTGCCGAAATGATTAGCATGGGGCTCATCCAAGCAAAACACAGCCATTAAAGGAATGCATCACCCGAAAATTTAAATTCTGCCGTCACCCTTTGTTTCTCACACAGAGCTATACCGTGTGTTCAGAAGACTTGAAAGCATGAGCAATAAGGAACTTGGAGGCTATATGGAGAAAAAAAAAAAAAAAAAAACCAGAAACTCATGCTATTTGTATAATAGTCTGCACAGAAGTAAGTGAAATGGTATAGCATTGCTTCAACCATTACGCAGGGCAATCGTTGAACCTAATGTCTCCCATGCGATGATGCTAATTTTCAGGCCTCCTTTAACACCTTCTGCTAATTTGCAGTCAGCATAATGTGTTTCTTTTTTGCAATTTCTTTTTAGCAGTTACTTCAAAGTTAAACTCTTTTTTTTTTCTGGTTCAGTTGTTGTCCAGAAAGAACAGAGTGAAACATTCTTTGAGACATGGCATAATGTTTGACTTGCAGGCCATGCTAGTTTTGATGAGGTTAATAGCATAGGTCTCGCTGCTCAGACAGATGAAAGGATGACCACACGTCCATGTAAAATATTTTGTCCCGAGCCTCAGGGTACTTCTCTTTAACATGCATTCTCAAAAGTCTGCCTAACACTTCCACATGAGGAGATATTCAGCTTTAATCAACTGCCTCTCCTGCCTATTTCATTCTGGTATTCTTTGAATTAGATACACTGTGTTTCCTCTTTGAAGTTCAATTTGAATTTCATTTGTGTATCCACATTGATCATTTCCATTTTTTTTATTTCTTCTTTTAATATAAAAACTCAAAGCCCTCGTGTTCTGCATGGAAGTTTTGATTGAATTTGAGAATTTGTATGCAATGCTGGGTGTCTCTTGACAAAATAAAGAAAACATCTGGACATTCTTACCTTTTCTTGACTATGTCTAGACCCTGATCCCATTTTATCTTGACCAGCTGTAGTATCCCGGGATCATGGGATCTTGTCTTCACTCCATGGCTGGATTGTAAAAAAATAACAACATAAACCAAAAAGGAAAAAGGCCTTTTCACTTTTGTAACCCTGAGTGCCTGGACTTGGAGTTCTTTCCAATTTTTATGAACTATCAACCCTTCTAAGAGCACCAGAGGATACAAGGGACACCAGCAGCGCTCCAGCTTCCTTTTGTTTAATAAACCAAAAAGGCTTTACTTTTCCACATTATTCCATTATATTCCATCAGAATAATTCCCTCATTTTCTCTTAGACAGGGGTTCCCAAATAGTTCCCAAATACAGAGAACCAATAACTCACAGAGTTCCCAAATGCATGTTAAACTCGTAACAAAATAAAAAAAATATATGTAATTTAACGTTTTTGTTCCCTCACAAAAGTTTAAAATCTTTTAAAACTTTCAAAATGTTTTCGTTTCCCCAAGAAACTTTTAATTCACCAAAAAACATTTGAGTTCTTTGCGAGTGATGGCGAGAGAGTATTTAAATATATGTTTTCTCCCATCACATATTTTGGTTTCACTTTATTTGAATGGTCCCTTTAACACATTCTGTTGTCTATAAGTAACATTGCACCTACCTGTCTTCTAAGTCTCATTAGTGTTAGCAGACTATTAGTAGACTGGTCGGTTAGGGTTAGAATGTAGTTGCAAAGTTACCTACAGTATATCCTAGTCAGTGGAATGTCTGTTGGAGGAGCATCACAATAAAGAGTTTGCAGATATAAAG